AGTCTTGTATCTATGCTAGATATGCTGTTTATTTCAGTTTTGTTAGTTTCTAGGTTGGTTCGTATCACGCATCATCATTATTAGTCGCATCTAGACCTCCAACACTGGGCATTGTAAGCTGAGGAATTGGTCTTGAAGGTCTTTCTAATGTCTTGGCTGGTCTCTGGGGTACTGGAACGGGTTCCACAACTTTGACCGAGAATGTACATACAATTGCTGTTACTAAAATGGGAAGTCGAAGAGCAGTTGAGTTGGGCTCATGCATTTTAATTATCCTATCCTTTATAGGTATGCATTTGCAATTTAATTCGAATTATCTTAGCAATGGCATTTATATTAAATAGTTGGATCTTGCCATTGATGGAAAAAATCACGTTGTGCCTTTAGTTTCTCTTCAAAAAAGGAATTATTTGTTAGCTGACGGCACTTCGGGAGCTTTTTAAGCTTTCAATTTTAAGGGGTGCATAATCTTCTGTTTTGTAGGTAAAGTCGGGGGTTTTATTGCTTCAGTACCTGACGTCGTGGTAGCCGCTCTCGTGCTTTACGTGGGCAATGCTTACAGCATTGGGGTTGTCAAATTTACGATATAGTGAGGCTGGGAGTTCAAGGAACATTATAATTGTTGGCTTGTCTCTGTTCTTTTCCCTATAAATACCAGCTTATTTTCAGCAGTATGGTATCTCTCCAAACTCGAACTTGTCCATTCTGAGTTACTTCCAGCCGTATATTATTGCTTCTTATGGTCCTATACGAACCAAATTTGGAGAGGTAAATATTTTCTTGCCTATTCACTAATAACAAACACAATCCTAGTATGTATTTTCCTAAACATTTGTTCGTCTCTCTTGTGACAGCTAAATTATGTGCTGAATACATTGTTGTCCTTTAACATGGTGATTGCATTCGTGGTAGCTGTAGTCCTTGACAACAAGTTCCAGGCAGTCGACAGGAACGTGGTGTATGTCTGGTCTGAACCCGAGGCAGCTAGAAGAGAGCCTGCTGTATGAAAAGACTACGAATTGCCATACAGAGTTGGCAGAGTTTTCAAATGGGTAAAATGGCTAGGGATGTAAATGATTTTTCATCGTCTCTCTTGAAGATCTTCCGATATCATCTGATACTGTCATGAATGAGTCTTCTTGGACTTGTGCGTGCTTATTCCAGTGTGGATTTCGCGGGCTTACAGATCTTAAAGAGATGAGTTATTTTGTGTACAATGCAGATTAGGTAATTGTTTTCGTTTCTCATGTATTATAATCCTTAAATTGTAAAAACATGTATGTATATTTTTTGAGCGGTCTTCATTTTTTAGCATTGTACTCTCAAGTGCATGAAGGAGTATATTCGTGAAAATGAAAATGAATAAATGGTCTCGTCTATAATAGATTAAGTTCTTAGATGAGATTG